TATACCTTTAAGGCTAGCTAAAAAGTTATAATTTAGGTTTTTCTCTTTTTAGCCTTTAGCTATAGTATTTAGTTAGTTAATATAGTATAATATTTAAGTTATTAGCTAGATATGTTATTTATAGTTAAGGCTTATAGCTAAGAGCTTAAATTAGTAGATAGAACTTAGATTAAAGATTCTTCGCAACTGGTACCTAATCCCCGGCTTTTAGGGCGAGCATCAGAAGTCGAACGTGTACCAAGTCATATTCCCCCACGAGATTGTCAGGGATTGGCTCAAAGACATTCCCAAATGACAAGTTGACATTTGATGGAAGCTCACCGGGAGAGAAGAACTTCGAGTCATCTATGTCAAAACCATCAAAACGAGCATCTTGGTGAACTTCCGGTGCAAAGTCTCGTAACCAAACCCCAGTGCCGGTTCCGACATCGGCTACTGCGGGTGGACGGCCAAGAGAGGCGAGATATGACTTAATGTTATCGGGGATCAAGGTCTTCGTAAGATGCAACCAAGTGATGTGCTGATAGTCGAGGCGATGCTCCTCAACGCCCTTTTTGCCGCTGTTGAGGGTATAAATCTGGGGTCCAGTCATGTTGGTATATGTGCTTAAGCCACTTCCACTAATTCGAGGGTGGACTATAGAGCCCAAAGGTGAACGAGGACACCCGCTCTAACTTATAGTAATAGACATTAAAAGAGTTACGCATCAGCACTCCAAATTTGCGACTATACCTGTGAAGTGGTGCCGTTAGCCGATTGATGATGTTAGACGATCGATCTGATTGGTTCATCCGGTCTTCTAAGGATTCTGATGATAAACTAGACGTGATACCATGAACAAATCTTACTCAGCGCCACAATCAGACAGGTAAAGCGTCCATGATATAGCGTATTACTCTCATCCTAAGACAAAAGTGCTCGGAGAGGCCTTTTCGGGACTTATTATCCCGTTACAGTGGGTATTTTATCGACCTGATCGCCCAATTCTTGCCGGATTCGAGAGTCGGGGCTTTGAGCTAAACTCGGCTTACGTGCGGCGAGCTTCGGGGCTTCAGCCAAGACTGGCTCAGATGGAATTACTTTGCGCAAGTTCCGAGAGATATGAATTGATCACTTTAAATCTAACACTCCAAAAGAAATTCCGATGTATCTCGTGATATTGGTGTGAGGTAGGATGTCTTTGGTGCAGCTTAAGACTCGATAAATCGTCTCTACATGACTCGATAGCATCGTTTTATTATAGAAGCAGGGATACAGACTGATTATATGACGGATTATTTTATTCTTATCTAATATTCGGCGATTAAGGCTGAAATTATGCTTCATTCAGACGTTAGACGTCCGTACCTTGTGTTTACTGGTCTTCGTTAATAAGAGTGAGATTGCTAATTGCTGTAAAGCTTCACGTGTCTATCAGAAGACATTTATAATTTACACAACTAATTTTATGAGAGTTTTCATGTCTGCATTCAAGCCTGGTGATATGAGGGGTTGATCTTAGCAAAAATAATGGACTGGACAGAGCGAGCGCCATACTGTTAATCGGACATCAAAAATACCTATCGCATACAGTTACGGCCGCAGCATATATAAATGTTTCAAGAAGTACAGTGAAGCTTTTTGATGCTTTATAGCTACCACAGAACGTGAACTTTACCTCATGATTGTTCCGATTAAGGCTATGTCGTTGTTAAGGTGCCAGTGCGGGCTGGACATCATGACATTGGAGTCCTGAGGTTGGGTGTTGAGAAAAGACGACGATCTTGATGTTCTAGTCTTCTTACACCCCAAAAAGAATCGACATGGGCGAATCGCGCAGAATTTCCACGCCAGTACTGTGGTTGAGTTGTCAGCTAGCGCTGCTACTCATCCAGTTACGAACTGAGTGGAGGATGATAAGCTGCCCAGGCAAGAGGTTCGCGACTAAGCCGACGTCGCTGCAGCTCCAGACCCTGGTTGCTCTGAATGAAGAAATAATCGCATTCGAGACAGCTTCAGAGTCGTCGATGTGCTAGTGATGCGCCGCTGATGACCTGGTTGGCCAACACTTTGTCATTCTACCAAGCATGCGCTTCGTGATTCAGTTTAAAATAGCCCTTAGGTGAGAAGAAGACTTTCTATAAGACAAAGGTTATACACCCTCCAAGCAACAGTCCCGAAGCATCTTCACACCAATACACTCACAGTCAATACCTGAAAGCTCTACCGGCGCTCGCAACTCTTCACTCACCGACCCCCGCTTCGTCATCTTTGCCCTCCAAGCTCACACCGCAACAATGCCTTCCATTGCCAACATGGTCACAGCGTTGGTGTATCTCGCTTCTGCTGCGAGTACCCTTCCCGTGAATGTCGCTCGCCAACAGACCACTGAATGCGCGACAGGTACGTGGTACTACTCTTGTGACACCAACGACGGTTGTTTCGACCACGATCCTTGTACCAAATCCACTCCTGTTTCTGGCAGGACTCCCGAAAAGGCGAAGGACAAACCGCTCGCTACAGCATCATCACTTTCGGCCAAGACCATTGTCCCTGCTACGTTATACGACATTTACCCCGAGCATCCCGATGAATGTAGTGGTCCGGTCAACGGCGTTCATCTCGAGACTTGGAGTGACAAGTCTCAGGTCGAACAAGTCATCGTCTTCAAGGACATCCCAGCGGATGCAAATAACTGCGATCTCTCTTGGCGTCAGGGACCTCGCTACTCTCGAAGATTCCTCGACAAGAATAGTGATGCACAATCTGATGCACGACCTCTATCTGGTTTCCCCGAGAACAATGTAACATACAACTCCATCAAGCCCTTCGACAATCAGAAATCGATTGGCGGCCCCAACTTCTCTTTCTGGGACGACCGTAAGGAAGACGTCCACCTTGTCGGGGGTGTCGACTGCGCTGAGACTGTTTCCTTCATCGTCGGACTCCGAAATCCCAAGGGCGATTCACAGGTATACCTTGAGCAAGATGAACATGAAAACGGCTGGACTCTTACTTACCACTAACTAATCCAAGTGGCTCACGGGAAATTGAGGGTTCGATGGTTCATGGAGTACCCTTGTTATTCAGGTTCATTATCCTTTAGATAAATACTCTTAGAGCTGATTTGCTATCAAGTCTAGCGTACTACGATTAAAATCAAGAAACTTCTTGCATGCTTTGATCATTCTTTCCCTACAATTACCAACTAGCAACCATTATGTCATGCTTGTCATTAGGATTTCAATTGCTGAGCCAGCAAGCGGGGATGTTATCTTCATTTGCCGCGAAGTTTACTGAGCTCGTGTATGAATGCCGCGTGTCGCCGATCATGTTGTGCTCTTTCGTCTGCAGGCAACCACTTCTCGGGGCTATTCTCGCAAAGACCACAGCTCTATTCATGCTTGGAATCTCGCAAGGATGACCACAAATGGAAATCCTAGACTCTTAGATACCAGTGCAGGTATCAAATGGTTTTGAAAGGCCGCGCAGAACGCAGTCGACAAATGCCAGTCTCAACCTGCCTTTGCCAGCCTTTTTGTGCACTTTTCTCGTCACGCCCTTTTCCCCACTAACGATTATACCGTCATTGACTCACGCCGACGTCTTGTCACGAACATTTGCCACTATGGCTACAGGATTGGAGATCGTCGGCACATTTGCCGCCGTTTACCAGCTGATCAATGTATCAGCTGGGTTGATAACCGAGTGCATGGCTGTACACAATGGCGAGCGCACTGCTGAGAGCGACTTGAAGGAGCATGCCCAAAACTTGGAAGAAGCCTGTAAATTAACTCAGGCACGTTATCGGGATATGGGCTCCTCCGAAAAGCTTTCTGATACCGAAAGGCGTGTTCAAAAGACTGCAAGTAGATGTCACGCTTCTGCTCGAGCACTGCTTGGGGAGCTAGACTTTGTGAAAAAGGAGCAGGAAAATTACGACTGTATGGGAGCCGTCGCTTATGTGATCAAATCCAAGGTGCACCGCAAGAAGATCGAACGGATGGAGGCTAGGTTCAAAAACGACCAACAGGAGTTACAGATAATTCTCCAATCTGATATCCTGTAGGCGCAGTAGTCTTCAGGCGTTTCATCGCTGACGATAGGTCTAGTTCACAAAATAAGGCCATGCAGTATCTCCAGATGGAAAGTTTCGCGGATTTAGAGGAAGACATACAGATTTTGATCAACCAGGCATCCGAGGGCTTCTGCGGGCTAGAGAGATTCATCGAAGCTCAGCATAAGGCGACAAAAGACCTTATCGTTCAGGAAGTCTCGAAAGTACAGCGAGCGATCAAAGAAGACTTCACGACTAAAGAACAGCGCAAAGAATTTCTCCAAAGTTTCAGATATCCAGAGATAAATAAGCGGTATAACGACGTGCTGGATTCGAATGAAGCCAACTTTACTCGAGTCTTTGCATCTTACGAAAAGGTTACGAGGCACGACCAGAGATCTGTATTGTCAATAGGTGGCAACAGTCACTCCAGCTCTGAAGCTAGCAGATATGATGCAAGCCATAGCGACCCCGATATCGACAGTGACGAATTGAGAATTATTGAAGAATCATGGTCGAGCTTCATCAACTGGTTGAGGTCTAGCGACTCCTTATTCTGTATTCAAGGAAAGCCTGGGTCAGGCAAAAGTACTCTGATAAAGTTTGTGATCGATAACAAAAACACCCGACGACTTCTTGAATATCAAAGTCCTGAGATAGTCATCATGTCTCATTTCTTTTGGAAAATTGGAAGCAAAGAACAAAGCAGCATTAAAGGATTTTTATGTTCATTAATCCACCAGTTGTTAGCTCGCAGTGAGCATCTACAGGAGCTTGCAATGGGCCTGTATGATACGGGCTTCCACAAAAGCTATGATGACTGGTCTCCAAGAACTCTCAAAAGTCTTCTCCGCCAGATTTTGGAAGCTAAAAGCCATGCTATCTGTGTCTTCGTCGACGGTCTCGATGAAGTCGCGAATGATGATGGCCTTGGGAAGCTGACGCGGGAGATTGAAGAGGTTCTTCAGTTTTCAGGCATTAAGATTTGTGTTTCTAGCCGACCAGAAGCATCAGTGGTACAATGGCTTGAGAGATTGAATGCTCGGAGCATTTTACTTGAGGATCTTACCAGGCCTGAGATGAGCAACTACGTTCATAAGGGCCTGGATCCCTTGCTTTCTTCGAAGAGACTCTCGATCAAGACCCATCGATATCTATGTGATGAAATGGTTCGAAAATCGCAAGGAGTCTTCTTGTGGCTCTCCTTGGTCTTAAGAAGCCTCATAGACGGTATACAGAACGGAGACACAGAGCAGATACTCATGAAACGTCTTGCTGAGTTACCAAGCAAAATACATGATCTTTATGCTGACATTTGGTACCGTTTGAAAGAAAGGAGCCCAGTATACAGAAGAGATGCAGTTCGGTATGTTATGTATACTCTGATGAGCCACTGGCAGGCGATTTACTTCCGGCCTCAAGAACACATTTTCGATATTTGTGTCACACTACCTGCCTTGGGACAGATCGCATTTGCAGAGATGCCCGATAGACAGGAAACTCTCCTGGAATATGGAAAAAAGATAGAGTTCAAGGAAGTACTGGAGATCTGCAATATGGCAAGAAATCGGATCGAAATCAGTTGTGGTGGTTTGCTACAAATTGGAAGGCTAGAAAAGGGAAAGGGAATATCAACGTGTGATCCCAACGACCTCTTCATGCAGAAGGTGGCTTTCATTCACCGCACAGCTCATGACTTCTTCACCGAGACGGAAGTTGGAAGATCAATATTGCGGGAAGACTCTGTAAACCGCTTCGAGATAGCGACGTGTGCTGCCAAGGGTCTTTTATGTCTCCATCGCATCATGGCTCACCAGCATGGTGTGAGGGCCGAGATGCTTTATTTTCTCGACCAGATTGGGCGCCTGAGCGAGGAAAGCAATATTTCAGCTGTCGCGAAGATAGCTGAAATGCTTCCAGTCTTGCAATCGCTCTTCGCAGAGGATATAATTTCAGGCAGTGGTACCTGGCAACCCAAGTGCCACTTCCTGACCTACCTCGTTCCTTATACCTCTTTCCATAAATTCATCCTATACGAAATACAGAAGGCGTCATCAGAAGAGCTTGCGACCCAAGTTCTCCAAGAGCTATGCTGCGAGATGGGTATTTCCTCCTCTACCAAACGCCTAGTTTCATTTGGACTTATCGGACCCCTTATCTCAATGGGTGCTGATGCGCACACTTGTATAAGAGACCAAGGACTGGCGAAGAGCCGAGAGAGTCACCGCGAGCTGCTGGTCATTAGAGGCAGCTCATTCGCGAACTTTCTAAGATTATCAATCACAGCGTCCTTTTTTGACAGCTACAAGGACGGAGATCTCGCTACACTGGTATCGAAAGTGGTTACAACCATGGCAGTGACCTGCCCAGACCTGAATGACGCGACGTTGATTGTATTCAGAACGTGCAACACTGGCAGAGTCATGCTGGAAAAGGATTCGAACAGAGTCCACAACGAGAATAAATATGCCTCTATTGTTGTAGAAGCAAAGCTAAGCTTTCTTATCGCTTATTTGTTCTCCCAATTGAAGCCATTAACCGAAGAAAATGCCGTTCTCAAACGTTTCTCTGGCAAGCTTGAGCCCCCTAGACCAGACATACGGTTCATTTTCACTTTCGATGAAGACAATCTCATCTGCAACCGCATCTCATCTCAAGGGTCTTGCGAGAGGCTGATTGATTTTCTGTTTCCAAGGGAAGGTTCCCCGCCGCAAACTAGTGAACTAATCGGTAAGCATTCGTTTGAGACTCGGAAAAGGTTTGATCACATTGTTTCCTTAGTTAGGCATGTAGATGTTATTCCATGCGACTTTGAGTCTGAAATGCTGTCTATAGCCGCGGAGAGATTAGGGGTTTGCAACTTCCAGGAAGCAGGTATTATGCCCTCTTTTGACGGCTTAAAAGAATTAAAAGAAGCGAGAGATCATTCTGCTTCAAATATAGTACATGAGTTGGTCGCTTTGGCAACATGCGAAAAAGGTTGGTGAGGGAAATGGATTGGCAATGTATTTAGAGCTCTGTGCGCCAGACATGATCATATCTTGTTTAGTTGTATAGACAGCTGATATATTGCCTCAGCTGGCTTTACAAGACAGCTATTCTCAGTTAACAGATCTGACAGCTGATTCCTATACCTCTCGTCTTACTCGGGAAGGTGAAATTCTTTTGTTTTCATTTATTGCCAGAACGACTTTGTCGCTTATGTTAGGTTATCCATGCATGCACACTCTTGAAACCCTAATTCCTCGCATAATTTGTATTCGAGGCAAGAGACTGATGAAATAATCCCGACAGAGTCTTGTATAAATCTTCGTCATAAACGTATTATAATACTCAAGACACCACCCAGCCAAACCTCAACATCCATTCTCCCTGGAGTTACCTCTTCAGCGTAATCCAGCAGCGAAGAACCTATACCACGAGATTGATGAGTCCGTGTTTTCTTCTGGAAGTCTTCTTCTTGCTTCCTCGTAGGCGTCGTATTCCAAGGACCAACTACAAGCCTTGGGAAAGCTAACTGTATGAGTTCCACAGTGATATCCAAATCGGCTTGCCTCCAGGTCCTTACACCGATTATATCCAAATACGTGTGAGAAGAGCTTTATCAGCTTCAGCCATCTTTGGCTGGACCCAGTACCACAGTCTGGTTGATCACACCACAAAATGTGCTTCGTTCTGTCCGTGAAAACAGGATTCCCGGCATCCCCATATTCTATGCTCCGAAGCCATTCGAAACTTAATGGATCTAAGTATCTCCACCGGCGACTGATGTGTAACCGAAAGGAATTCTCATTCAATAAACCGCTCTTCTTGCAACACCTATTGGCCGTGCTGCGTGGGCGTTCCCAGACATATGTTATGTTGCACTCAAAGCATACGTAACAAAGACTGGCACAGCCATCATTTTTCACTGGAATCGACTTTGGAAAATAGTCGCAGCAGCAAAATGTGCACTCCAAGTTGTTCAGCAAGAGTTCCATCGCAGCTGAAGAATGTGGACAAAGGTGACCACAATCTCGGAGGACGCTTCTCATGATATCTCGAGTCGACGATTTCCTTTCGCTTGGTCCGCTGATTTCAAAGGTCAATGTCGCGGTCCTGGCGATGGTGCCCGGATAATAGCAGTTATCAACTTCGATAGTAGGGATGTATTGCTGTGAAACGAGGTCAGGATTCGCATCAGTCCTTTCGAAAGAAGCATGCGATTTGTCCATGCAGCGGTCGTAGGTGCGGTGTTGGGTCCAAGGTTTGGGGAGCTTCCATTGAAACTCGAGTCTCAGGTGAGAGCATACATCGAAATGACCGAGCAATCCAACGCATTTGTTTCTCTCCCTACCATTTGTTGGGAAGAATATTCCGGGATGGTCCTTCTTGCATCCGGTGCACCTCCTCGGCTCACAAAAGGATATCAGCCTTTCTCGTAGTTCCTCCGTGCTTATGGCCCGGCACCCATCGCATAGGGTTTGGCGGAGCAGAGAAGCATATATCTCGCGACTGTCTCGAACAGCGGCCTGCGCTGTGCTATGCCGACGGCTCAGGGTCTGAAACTTGCGAAAGACAGGATCGTGGTCTATATATTGGCGGAAACCTCGTGATGTTTGGCGGAGTATATACAGCGAGCTGTGAGGAAGGAGTCTGAGGATGGTGTCGAGTATTTCATTGGGTATGCGGGCTGTATTCATCCTTTTTGGTAGGATTAACATCTCCCGGGGTGTGTCCTCATTGTGTAATGCCGCATTCGACGAAGAGAGGGCAACAACACGACTCCTGGGTCCTGGACGGCCCTGTCTGCAGTAGCAAATATAGCGAGCAATAGTGTCAAACCCCTCTATGGCGCACCTGAACCATCTCATAATCCATTCAGAGCGACGCCCAGGTTTTCCGATGCGGGCATGGCACTCTAAAAGTCGTGCCATATCGTATAATCGCTAGCGTTGCAAATGGCAGGGAATGAAAGAAGGGAAGAAATACATTCAAACCAAAGCGAAAATACGATTTTTAAAGAGTCCAGCCTCCCTATAAAAGACAGGTGCGAGGATAAATTCAAGTCAAAAGTATTCCCCACTCATATTAAACTATAATAGACATCCTTTCTGCTAAATCACAGTATGCAAGCTTTGTGTCATGCAAGCCTTGTAAAGTTGAGGCTAATATGGCATAGCCTATCATATCTGTTCTCTCCTAACTCTAACACAAATATCGTTATGAACTGTGATAAGCTTCAAGGTTTGAAAGAGGCTTCAACCCCAATAGTATAACACTTGCACCGATCTATGTAAGGACCTACAGTGAGCCTTCATCTTCACCAAGGTCAAATTAAATCTTTGGCCTCAAAGTGGCCACGAGAATGGACGACACACGGGGACTAACTTCGAAATTCGATATGTGGGTGGAAACCTTATACCACCAAAGAGATCTTAGCTCCTTTCCGAACCTTGTTCACGGGCATGGTTATGGACGGTTTTGCTTGTAAAGTTATGTCACTGTATCGAAGGACCACATAACACACAGTCAGATAATCGAAGATGAAATTATCCGGATATTTCAGTAATTAAGCATATATATTTACATGTCACAAGAAGTTCTTGACGAGTAGACTGAGGCTATAGTATTGGCTGTGCTTGACCTAGATGTGATCTGTTGCGCGCGTAAGACATCCCAACATTTCTAAGAGTAGCGCTATAGCTCTCTGGTTTCATACTGTGTTTTACCAAGTGAATGACTGTTTCAAGTAATAATAAAAAAGACAAACTAAATGAGTGACGTGCGGGAAATTCTCATGGCCAGTATTCAGGCCTGCACTATTGGGTGGCAATGATACCCAAAGGCATTGCTTTGAGACCGCTCAGTGTAGCGTTTACGAACTGTGGCAACAAGTCCAGCAATCGCCCTAAGTTTCAAGGTCAGTTTTGAGCATACTTGGTCAATAAGGTGATCTGACCTGTTGAGAAGAGTACTTTCTCTGAATTAGCGCAAGCCAACAGTCAAAAGAAGCGCGGATCGACTTACCCACCCATCTGGGCATTGAATCTCTTCAGAAGCACATAAGAGCCAGCAGAGATCATCGTGTTTAGCGTGGGGCTTGTCTCTGTGCATAGGTACCTGCGAAAGCTTGATAGCAAGACTGTGACTCCATGTTAGTAAAGTAAGATTGCAATCTCATAGACCGCAATGAGCTAAGCATGAGAGTAGAAGACATAATGGGGTTGTTTGAGATGGAGAGACTGACGATATATCCTGATCAGGTACCAAAACCTTGGACTGGCTCTGCTTGATCTGCCCCAGCAGGGACGGGATAGCGACAATGCCTTGGGCAAGGGCGAGAAGAGCAATGGCCGAGTACTTCATGCTGAATCAATGCCTGATTATATTGTGGACTGGCTGTTCAACTTTGGTTGAGGATGTGTTTAGAATGAGCGCCAGGGATGCAGGGTCGGCTCCAGTATTTATAGATGATTGGACTCCTTCTTGCAAGATTACAACTTACATTTCATGAGAAGGTAGGAAATAAACATCCCTTTTCTGTACAGCTCCGAGAATAATAGCACACTGAAAACAATCGACCAGAAAACTCGCCTATCGTTGTTTGAAACATAGTACATCCATCGATCGTGCTCAATGACGTCCCCTATAGCGGTGGTGGTACCGTACGAGGGATACATGGCAATCACTCGTTCGATGGTACTTCCGGCATGTTACATGCGATGGCTTCTGACTCCTTCTTTGACTGCGCTCTGGTACACGTCGGCAAGTCGCCATCGGAACATCGCTCCTAGAGCTCTAATCAATGTTCTCGGATCGGGAAAGGAAGTAAATGTGAATAGTTGCCATCCGCTATTATTATTGTTACTAAATCTAGGCCTCATTTTGGCCCACCTAAGCAAGTTCAACTTGGTCAACCTTCTTATCCTTCTTGGCATCCTGATCCAATCTTCCATGCTCAATATCATCCAGCTTGCCAGCATGAAGAGCTCCATGAGAGGTTCCCTCAAAGATGGCTTGGATTTCCTCCAGAGTATGACCCTTTGTCTCGGGGAAAAGGAACCAGATAACGACGATGAGACAGGCGAGAATGCAGCAGAAGACAATGTAGTACTTCCAACCGATGTTCTTCATGGCGATTGGGTTGACCTGGTTTCCAACGACGAGACCGACGAATGTGCTGACGTACATGACGGAGACACCACGGCTGCGAAGGGTGTACGGGAAGATCTCAACAGTGTACGCTTGAAGAAGAGGGGCCCAAGCAATAGCGTAGAAGAAGAAGGTGATGAACACAAAGCCGACAATAGCCTTTCCGGTAGTTGGGCTTCGAGTGCTGTCGAACGAAGCACTAAGAGCGGTCCAGATAATGTACGACACGAACATTCCACAAGTTGAGAGAAGGAAGAGAGTGCGACGTCCGAGTCTGTCGACTAACATAGCACCAACAAAGATCGCGGCAAGCCAATTCGAGATCTGCAAGAGTCCGTTAATGAGAGTTTGTTCCTTGGCAGCTGTGATACCGATCGTGTTGAGGACAAGAACAAGGTAGTAGCTACAGGCGACGTCAGACAGTTACGTGAACGCGGGGTCAAGGTGAAACAACATACCTGACGAGGTTGATACCGTTCCACTGAGCGAACCATCCGACAACAACGGCAATGAGGGTTCTCTTTCTGTTCGCGGGAGTTCTAACGAGTTCGAGCCAAGAGTTTTGTGACATGGAATCGGCTTCGTGCGTCAGAGCACCCTCAATCTCCGCCATCACAAAGTTGACAAGTGGAGCGTTTGCGTCACCGCCGGCGTGATACGTGGCGAGGATCTTGCGGGCTTCTTCGCGTCGGCCGTGGGCGACGAGCCATCGGGGTGATTCGGGGAGGAAGTAAACGGCGAGGAGCTGGATGAAGGGGAGGGCTCCCTGTAGAAGAGAGGGGATTCTCCAACTCCATGTTGAGTCGATCTTGAAGGTTCCGTATGTGCACCAGGCGGCGATGATTCCTCCGAGGTACTGTCAAGTCAGTGGATGTCTTTGGGTATGAAGAGTGGGTACTTACGAAAGATGTGTTGTACAGAGCGGTAAGCTTGCCTCGATGTGTGGGATAGGCAAGCTCAGTGATGAGGATGGGGCTAGGCTGGGCCAAGAAACTGGTGAAGAAACCAAGGATAGCTCTCGCCGCAATGAAGGTCTCCAAGTTCTGTGAGACAGCTTGCATAATCGCGAAGGCAACACAGGTCAAAGCTCCGACCATCATGGCTGTCTTTCTACCGAATCGATCGCATACGTAGGTGACGAAGAATAGGGCGATGACCTTTCCAGCTGGGTATACGGAGTTGAGAGCACCGAGCATGGCGCCTTCGGGCTGTCCAAAGTAGCCTCTCCATTGAGGGAGGGTCTGAAGACCGTTCATCATCGATCCTGTGCATGTTAGTAAGGGGTTCAAGGTTTCGCGCGACGAACATACCATCATAACCAATTGCGCCTGATGACACGAGAGGAATAAGAAGGAGAAGGTTAAGCTTCAGGAGATGGGGTACGCGATACCAAGGTCGAGCATCATCGGGGAGTACCTGACGAGGATGTTAGCATTCAATGCCAATCATTCGCGTCTCAGGGAGTAAACTCACTGCTGCAAGGTCATTGCCGGCAGCCGCGGCAGCACCTTTCTTCTCTGTTGGTGAGGAGCCCACGACTCTTGAAGATGATCGATAGTCTTGTCAGATGTTCCAACGTCAATCAGCGGCTGATGATGAATGTCCAGAAACGCAAAACACCAGGGTTATTGAGGTTAATTATATCTGAACCAACGAAAACAGACAAAGATAATGCAGATCCAATGCTACCCCACGCGGTGGTAAACTGAGACCCCATGGGGAAACTTGGAGCGTTCATTGACGCTTGAAGAGATTGACAACTTGTTTGATGGGATCTTGGCTTGACGCGTTTGGGCTGGATCCGACGCTATTCCCAGTCGTTCCGAGACTTCGGACCAGGCTGTCATTGGTCTACGGTCATGTCTTCCGAAGCAGCGTTCAGCCGATTGGTCTCACTCTCGCTCATGACTCGAGCCTTGACCAATTGTCTAGTCTCCGTTGTCGCTTTACCGAAGCCCGTCAAAGTCTGGTGGATGCTTTACTACCAGTTGAACCAGTCCCAAGCTGGAGATATTCCCCCTACGAACCTCCACAAAATTAGCGATCCAGTTCCCCGACGTTGACCCGCACGCAAGTCAGAGAGAACAGATCCGGGCTTGCTTATTACTCGCAAGTATCATCATCCGTCCCTGCCCCAGTAGTTTCGAGGCATACAACGGCAAAATGGCAAACACGCATATTGATGCGATTATACAGTCACTGACGCTGGAGGAGAAGGTACGCTACACCATCAACAGTAAGAGCACGAATTAAGCTAATTCCTATCAAATTTCCCTCTTAGCTGGTCGGAACTTCTCAGAAACAGTTGGTTATCCAGAAAAGGGAATTCCTTCGATCAAGGTGAGTTCGATCTCTTGCCTTCTCGAACTATTTACTAATAGATTCAAGACCGCCGACGGACCAAATGGAATTCGCTCAGCAGCAACAGATCTCGACATCAAGTCGGCCTGTTTCTCAGCAGCATGCAATCTCGCAGCGACATTCGACCTAGACCTTGCCGAGAAATTTGGCAAGGCTCTAGGTGCTGAAGCGAGAGGGAAGCGAGTAAACTGCATGCTCGGTCCAACAGTCTGTATGCATCGCCATCCTCTCGGTGGTCGGAATTTTGAGAGCTACAGTGAAGACCCATTTCTCACCGGTAAAATGTCCTCAAAAGTCATACAAGGTCTTCAAAGTCTTGGTATATCAGCTACGATAAAACATTTCGTGGCCAATGAGCAAGAAACAGCCCGTACGACTGTTGATGAGACCATCGATGAACGTGCATTGCGCGAGATTTACCTCAGGCCGTTTGAGATTGCTGTGAAGGAAGCGAATCCTTGGGCGATCATGACAGCTTATAATCATGTCAATGGTGTTCATTGCGATGAGCACAAGTGGCTTCTGCAGGAGGTCTTGCGCGGTGAATGGGGCTGGAAAGGCCTTGTGATGAGCGATTGGGGCGGTACGAATTCCGTGGCTGCAGCGCTCAATGCTGGGTTGGACCTGGAGATGCCTGGTCCTCCTCGTCTAAGAAAGGAAGATGCTGTCAAGGAGGCACTTGAGCGAGGAGAGTTGACAGAAACCACCATCAACGAGCGCGCCAAATCTGTCGTTGAGTGGGCATTGAAGCTCAAGGCCCGCGAAGCAGAGTCACACTCTGTCGCTCTTGGTCAAGACACTAATACCCCCGAACTGCGAAGCATGATCCGCGAGGCCGGCGCACGGGGTATTGTCTTGCTGAAGAATGAGAGAGATCTCCTTCCGTTGACCAAAGAAAAGGTTCACAAGAAGAAGATTGCTCTTATCGGATTTGCTAAAGACGCTATGGCTCACGGAGGAGGTAGTGCCGCTGTCAATGCGTACCGCAAGATCACTCCCTGGCAGGGCTTGCACGAGGCCCTTGGCGATGACGTCGAGTTCACTTACGCTCGAGGCGCTCATCGCGAGCGTTTACTTCCTGCTATTCATCCTGATGGTCTCTGCGGTAAAGTCGTGGGTCTTGATGGGAAACCCGGCTTCAGCAGGCAACTGTTCAAGGAGGGTGAATCTGACCCCGTATCTACTATTGGACAGCCAACTTCTGCATACTCGCCTCTGGGATCACAAGAGTCACTCTGGAGGAGACTTGAGATTGTCGGTGACTTTACGCCGGCCGAGACAGGAGAGCACTACATCGCCTGCTCTGGATTGGGACCTACGAGAGTCTATGTTGATGGCGAGATCATCTATGAGCAGACTGCCAACTGCACTGACCCCATGGGCTCTCTGTTCCTCGCTGCTCCAGAGCCTGAGTTCCGCCACAAGTTCAAAGGAGGAAAGACCTATCGCCTTAAAATCTGCAGTGATCCGCCTACCAAGATCGGCCTGACCATTCTTGAAGGTCGCAGTGGTGTCCGTGTTGGCTTCTCACTTGAATCTGACCACGATGCAGATCTTGTCGGAGAAGCTGCTGAGGTGGCCAAGGCTGCTGATTACGCGATTGTGTTTACCGGGCATGATCCTCAATGGGAGACTGAAGGTCGGGATCAAGATGGCTTCAATCTCCCTCGGAAGGGCACACAAGACGCCCTTGTATCTACAGTGGCCTCAGTCAACCCTAACACTGTGGTTGTCAACTCTACTGGCGTTGCTATCGCTATGCCTTGGTTGGAGCAAGTCCCCGCTGTCGTGCAAGCTTGGTTCCCGGGCCAAGAATGCGGTTACTCTATCGCCGATGTCCTTACAGGAGCTGT